AATAGTCCTAAAAGTAGAGAATTCCCTGGTGAACAACCCTTAATTGTAAGTTCTTATCGCCCTTTGACAAGGCTTGGAGTCCTTGGAAACCTTTATAGACGCGGAACCTCTATAATTTTGAGTGCCAATTTAAGTCCTAATATTTTAACCTTCCTTTTTGTATGTAATTGTGATTATAAATTCAGTGTATGATGGGTGCATACTCAAATAACGATCTATGATTGGTGCATTTTCGTACGAATAAATTGACTATTGTGCACGTCTGTATCCAGTGGTATAACATTACGACAAGGTACTGTAGGCATTATTGTCCACAGTTCCCATGTACATATTGGAACATCTTCACCTCTAAAAAACACGAAGACAATTCCAACTTACACTCGGTCGTTTAATACACAGCAAGCATTCTTAACCTGCGTTCTGTCTGGACGATCGACACTGTCCTACTGACAGCTTACTCTTCCAATTCCGCGGCCAAGGCCTTGGCCTTTTCTTTGACTTCTTCGATACCGCCGACCATGAAGAAGGCGGCTTCGGGGAGGTCATCGTACTCGCCGGCCAAGATGGCCTTGAACGACGACACGGTTTCTTCCAAGCGCACGAACTTGCCCGGCTTGCCCGTGAACACTTCGGCCACGTGCAGGGGCTGGGACATGAACTTTTGCACCTTGCGCGCGCGCGCGACCGTCAACTTGTCGTCTTCGCTCAGTTCGTCCATACCCAAAATGGCAATGATGTCTTGCAGACCCTTGTAGTCCTGGAGCAGCTTCTGCGTCGCGCGCGCCACTTCGTAGTGCTCGTCGCCGATCACTCGCGGGTCCAACATACGCGACTTGGAATCCAAAGGATCCACGGCGGGGTAAATGCCGAGCTCGGAAATCTGGCGAGACAGCACCGTGGTCGCGTCCAAGTGCGAAAACGTCGTGGCCGGCGCAGGATCGGTCAAATCGTCGGCAGGCACGTAGATGGCTTGCACCGACGTAATCGACCCCTTCAACGTCGACGTGATGCGCTCTTGCAACGCACCCAAATCCGTCGCCAACGTGGGCTGGTACCCCACGGCCGACGGAATACGACCCAACAACGCCGACACTTCCGAGCACGCTTGCGTGAAACGGAAAATGTTGTCCACAAACAACAACACGTCTTGGCCTTCCACGTCACGGAAGTACTCGGCCACGGTCAACCCGGTCAAACCCACACGGGCGCGGGCACCAGGGGGTTCGTTCATCTGGCCGTACACCAACGCGGCCTTGGAGCCGGTCGTCGTGCCGTCCGCGTTGAGCTTGATCACACCCGATTCAATCATTTCGTGGTA